CCCATCTCTTGCACGTGCCAAGTATTTTGTCCAATCTGTGAGATACATCCCCAACCCCATGCAAAATCCAGCGAACTCCATTAGATGTCACTCTCCTCGAGGACTCTACTTCTACGTCTAGTTCCTGCATAACTGTGTAATGAAAAATTTTCCAGCATTCGCCATGGCCACGCCTCAACCGCCCACTGGCCCAGCAAGGGGCAGACACTTTGGGGGTGTTGCGATTTTCGTAAATCCCGCCACCCTCACAGATGGAAACTAAACATAAATCATAAATATTTTAAAGTTTCAAATTACCAGTGGCAAAAACAATCAATGCAGCCAACAACCACCCACCGCCCACTGCCTTCTGTCCTCTGCCCCGCCTACTTTAGAGGGCCTGCGGCCTTTTTTGAGGCAGTCCCCAAGCTCTGTCACACAGCTGTCAACATTTGGCAAGGGGTAGCAGGAGGACTTTGACATTCAGGAGGAGGTGGAGGTGGGTGCGGCGCAATCAGCGCTAATCTAATGAGTGTCAGTGTTGCATGTGGCAAGTGTAGCTGGAACAATAGACGCCGTTGTTCAGCAGGTGTTTCCCGACTCCCAACGGAAATGCGTTTGTCACTGAAGAAAAAATATAAGGCCTTAAAATCAAAAAATCTTTGAAAATATTTTTTTGATTTTTTTATACTTTATATGAATGTTTTCGGAAATACTTTGAAAAACCGAAAAACACAAAATTCAAAAAGCAATTTTTAGGATAACTATTTTAAATATTCACCAAACACTTCATCTGTTTTAATTCAACATTTAAAATACTACCATTTCAAAAAACATTTTTTTTGCTCCATGCTGTTCTCTTATTTTGTGGCATTTATGAATATTACAGGATACCAGTGACATCTTGTAACTTCTCAAGTATGTAACGGGGGCTTTTATGTGCAGTTACCGTTGCCGTTACCGTTAGCAACCAAAAGGAGAAGCGATGGAGAAGAGCTCGCCTGTCCCATCCAGCCGTCATATAAAAATAATTGTTTGCCAGCGCATTCATTACCCATGACAGCTCACTCCGTTCCCAGTGCTCGTGATCCTGGGATCCAAAAGGATATTAAAAATGCAATTTCTGGCCCAAAAAAAGAACCAGCAAGAAGACAGGATGGGTAGAGGACGCACAAAAAAGTGCGTCTCTCCCACCGCAATACGCATTTGCAAATTGCATTGCAAGGCGGGCAGCCAGGACAACAAGGACATCAGTTGCTGCTCGAAGCCGGAGTTGCAATTTCATTTAACGTCTCATCATTGCCGACTTGGACATGAACATCAAATTAAATGCTCGCAACGCAATAAACATTAATAAAAATAAGAATCAAGGTGCACTGTGCGCTGCCAGATGAGAATGGAAATTGCTCATAAACAAGTCCATCAAATAAAGTGCACACAGACGGGCCAAATTCTTTTTTTTTTCGTTTTCGTTTTTTATTTTGTCCAACGTTGACTTTCGGCGTAAAAACCGCAGCACAATATTAACAATGACGCATGGAAACTCACACAGATACTCTCACAGATACCCCACACAAGCACAAGGACGACAGACAGACACTCACACATGCATACAGAGCAGACTATCAAATTTTAATACGCCATCCTGGCTGTGCCTTTATTTCATAAATTTTTAATGAAATTAAGCGGCAAAGCTTTTTGGGTTTTCGGGTTTCGGCTGCCTCTGTTGTCCTGGTGTCTGAGTGTGGCCAGAGTATTTCGAAATAAATCATAAAGAGTGAAATACATAAGTAAGCCAGACGTACGGACATCAAGGACCTAACGACCGACAGTTGGACATTGTTTGCATACCTTTTTAAATGGTTTTTCAACTTTCGGTTTTTCCCTTTTTATTTTTTCGTTAACCACAACTAAAAGTGCGCCCTGTTAAATTATGAATTAAGCGGTTTTATGCGTCTCTATGTACGACTATATGCACACAGCCAGCAGGCTCACATTCTGGATTTAGTCTTTTGTTTTTAATGAGTGCGATTGCAGTGGCTTGAATTTTTAAAAAGGTCAACTAGGACACAATGAGAACTTCCGGGAAAGTTCAAATAGAGATGGTGTGGGTTGTCGGGGCTTAATGAGAGCAAAAAATTTAAAAGTTCAAAAGGTGAACCAAAACAAAACCGGCGACACGACATTTAAAAATTTCTACAACATTTTCTTTTTGTTCCAAAAATTATTCATGAACTTAAGCTGATTGATAAAAGATTATTTCTTATTTATTTAAAATATTAATTAAAATTAGATAATAAAATTAAAAGTATGGGGGTCCCCACTAAAATATTTTTACGATAGTTATCCTCACGACTCACACTCCCCTCCCTAATTTCATTTTTCCAATGCACCCCAAAAAGTATGCAACACAGCAAGAAAAGAGAAAAAAATAAAACAAAATGGAGGGAGGCAGCAGCAGACATACAACCGCCCCTGAAACCGGAGGACATGGCTGCCATATGCGAAATCAAAAGTTGTTTATGACTCAATTTGTAGTTTTGAACATGAATTATTGCAGCTGTGTGAGGGGCGAACAGGATAATAAAAAAAGTGGAGACTTATAGAGAGAGAAGCAAGTAGCAAAAAAAGAGTAAACACGAATATGTGCTGCACACAAATTTTTGGATGAGGAAAAACTAATTTCGCAAAGAGGAAATTAAATATGGCAAAGTTTGACATATGACAGATTTCTTGTTGTATTTGTTTCATCTGCTCTGGCTGCTTTGTTTCGATTTTATATTCATTTGTGCATGCGAATAATTGAAACATTTCTGGTGGCAAACATGCAAATTTCAATTTCAATTTGCAGCCAAACAAAGGCTCAACTCTGCAGGACAATTCAGGTGAAGAGCATATTTTGACAGGCCAAACTGAAATTATTTGAACCGTTGTCATCCGATCTGATCTGTTCTAAGCCCCCTTAGACCCATCCCTACCGTCCCCTTTATGGGGGTCTTATTTCATTTCATTTGATTTCATTTCCCCAAGTTTGCTTTGTGTTTCGTCTGCTGGCCAATTTCGCATATTTTTACAACTTCTCTTCGGCACTTAATTTAGTCAATAACATGCAAATGATTCGCCCAGAGTCTAATTGGAAACGCAAGTCAGCAGTCTGGCGAAGTCTGCGAAGGCAGACTGCAACTTTTCTTCTAGTTGCGACTCTCCGCCGTTGCGGAGTCCGCATTAAAAGCTGCGGTGCGTCAAACTTATAATCAAGAGGGGATTTCCGATGAAGGCCTTACAGGGGACTGGGTTCGGGGAACCGTCAGACTGGCTGAGGGGGGCGGGACTACAGACTAGAAGACTGATGAGCTACAGGGTTTCTGCATTTCATCACCGCTTCTTGGACAGGGACGTGGCAAGCACACAATGGGAATACACAGAGAAAAAAATAACTTTGAAATATGATCAGATATCCCTTGAATATAGTTTTATATTTAAGCCTCATTTTTGAAACTCCACTGATTTTTTGTCAGTGCTTTGAGTGCCATGTGCAGGCTCAGCCAAGGATGCGCACATTCTTCATCATCAAGTGCTGCTCAGTTGCACGTCTGTGATATGACTCGGTTATTCGGTTGCGGTTACATTTCCTTTCCCGCACTCTTCCCTGTTTACAGTCTGTCTGTCAGTCTTGGGGTTTCCTTGCCGGGTGCTCTTATTCGGCTCTTATGGCGCAGAAACGACGGAGTACTCTCACAATGCCTCGACACTGTTGACACATTCGACTGACAAATGGCCATAAGTGTATAATTGGATAAGAATTGGATCAGCGTAGGTTCCTGCCTGCCTAATCCTTTCCAGAACTCTTTCATACGCTATGCGGGGTGCCCATTCAATCAAATTAGCGCGGAGAGCAATCATCGGACACAGGCGAGTGCAGGAAGGCAAACTAATATTCCTGGCCAAAACGCTTCATGGCTGACTACTTATCGCTTAATCACATCACTGGCCCGATATCGGGGCATCTGCATAAAACATTTAGCAACATCAAATCGTTACCCGCCCATCCACACACATCAAAGCCAATCAAAATGGCATTTCAATAATATCAGAGCCGTACAATCGCATCAGCAGGGGGCTGCTGTCAGGGGCGTAGAGATTGCGACTGTGGATAATGGGGGAGGGGGTTGTAATGGAGCGCGCATATTTCGGTTCGGCTCGGTTTTGTGGGTCTGTGAGCTTATGAGTCAGTGAGCAGATGAATTCGTGAGTGAGTGAGTCGGTGCGTCGGTGAGTGTGCCTGTGTGCCAAAAACATCAATGATTCGGTCACAAATATTACAAGACACACACTCTCGCACTGGATATGTGGCGAGAAGGAGAGGGGTGGTGGCCAGGACTAGACAGAGACGGAGACTACCGGAAATTGTGTCAAAGAAGACTTTCGCTTTCCAACAGAATGTGTCCTTCCACAAATACACATACATATTGTATATCGCCACGGGTGTGTGGGTGCGTCATAAAGATATTGACAGCCCCATAAAGATAACCGTAGTGGATTGTGAATGGCATGTCAAGGAAGAAATTAGGCTGTGTTCACACACTCAGACCCATACTGCCACTCGCAGTGGGTGTTCACACGCACTTTCTCTTTCTTTTGAATACCCTTTCCCTTGGGAAACGCCAATCGTGTAAGAATAAACAAATTACAAGCTGGAATAAGAGGTAGTTGCGTTTTGTTTTATTCCTTAGATGGTATAATAGAACCCGAAACGAGGTAACCTAGAAGTAAGCCTTTTAAATAAAAATACTCCTAAGATATACAACTGTCTTCTGCTTTATTGGATCTTTTGTTTCGAATATAACTGATGTTTGCAGATAGTTTTAAATAAAAGAACCGTTGGAATTTTTATTTATATGGAAACTATGAATTTTTACCTTAATGAACTATGGCTTATTCAACATCATTCCACACCGAAATTTCGCTACAGCTTTGAATTTTGGGTCTCACGTCTCTTTCTTTGGCCTTGCATTTGAAAAGCGTGTGACTTTGGAAACTAATGTCCTTGGACACTCACTCCTGATCTTCCTCTTCTGGGCTGCAATTGCAGCATTTCTTTTTATCCTTACCCGCATTAGGATCTGGAAGAGCACTGCAATCGTCGCCGTCGCGATCTCTTAGCGGGAACTGCTTGTTAAACACGGGAATGCGTCCGTTGTCGGGTGAATAGCCCGGAGTCACATGCGCACTGCAGGGACCGCAACCCAAATTTGCTGCACTTTTAGAATTTGCAGCACTTTTTGGATTCGCAGTGCTTTTCGAACTTGCCAAGCACACACAATCTTCCTCTTTGCCTCCACCACTTGCGCTAGAGTGCGCGGGTAGGGAAGGACGATTGGTGCCCACTGATTTGGTGGGAGGCTCATATGGATTGCCTCCACAATGTGGACAAAGGAAGGTGGGTGGCGGAGCTGCGGTACTTTCATTATCACAGGCGCATGCTGCTGTTGCTACAGATTTTATCTCATCCTGTTCTGGACAGTCTTCCGTTTCACAAGAACAGCAGCCTCCCTTTGCCTTTTTCTTTCCAAATAAATCGTCAGGACAATCGGCGCCCTTCGTTCCATCAGACAATGGTGCATAGTGACCAACCAGTGCATCCTGCTGTCGCCTTTCCTCGTCATCCTCCTCACCGGCACAGGAACAGGCAGCTGCTGCTGGCTGGGCGGCACTCTTTGAGACTTTCAGAGCACTGGAACAATCCTGCGCCTTCGGCTTCGTTTCCGGATCACAGTCCTTTGCTTGATCCTCAGCATCCTTGTTTTTGAGTTTCTTATCGCGCTCCTGGATCATAGATATTTGGGCCTTCACACATTCCTCCATTTTGGCCTCGAACTTCTTTTTCTCCTCCGCCCGCGGATCGTCCGCCTCTTCTCCTTCACAGCCGCAGCGGGCCTCGGACCGTTTTGGGTGTACCGGAACCGATGGAGCTGCTCGTACACAAGACCCTGGAGTGCATGGCTCCGGAGCATCCTTCGCCGATCCACCACTCTGCACACTTTTGGCAGTCTGAGATGGGGAACACCTAGGACCACAGCTGGCTTGGGATGCTTGCGCCTGCATTTGAGCCTTTTGTTTCTCCTGCTTTTCCGCCTCCCTTCTTTTCCTATCAATGTAGCAGGCGCAGCTAGGATCGTGCTCCGAGAGGACCTCATCCATTTTTCGGGGTTGCGACTGAGCCGAGGTGCAAGAAGATTCTGCGTCACGCCACTGACGAGATGGCGCTGCCGCTGGATGCTGATCTAGCTCGCAGGCACAGGCGCAGGCTTCCTCCTGATCTGCTGGATTTACGGAAACCACGCAAGGCTTTAGTGCCTCGTACGGCTTAGGTTGAGTGGGAACCGAGTTTCTTCGCTTACCATAGTTTTTTCCTAGCAGGGCGCCGCAGGCACAGAGGACCCCCTGCATTTGGTGCCCTTGGGGTGCCCTCGTTTGGGGCTGTGCCCTTTGCGGTGTCTGACTTATGCCCTTCTGATCATCCCCGCAGTTACATTGGCCACCTTCAAGGTGGGGCGGAGCCATCTCTTGGCCACATACTCCACAGATTTCAGCTGTTCTGCTCCGAACAACTGGCTTCTCTTCAGATTTATCATTTGAGGAATAATCTGCGCGGCTGCAAAGGCAGTTGGTCGGATGAACTGCAGTGACCGGAGTGTGAAACTTTTGCTCCACTCCTAACGTGGAGGATTCTTCACTTATATGTGAGATGGGAGGATTGAAACGGGTCTTCGGGTCCGGTGCTAAGCTGGACGATTGCGAGGAATTTCCGCATGGGCATGCCGTCTGGTTGCCTCGCCCCGTTGTTCCGCTGCTTCCAGCATCCATGTTCGCCTCGCTTGTGATTATAAATTCGTTGTTCTTTTTTGACGCATAGGAAGTGGTACTTTCCTCCATCTGGCCTGCGTCGGGATCAATAACCATATCTTTGCCGTGTTTGGCCAATAACTCGAACACCACTCCGATGGTCCAGCCGTATCCCGTGTACTTGGCGTTCCCGCTCCGATCTCCAGGCTGGCCAAATTCCTTGCAGTAATACTGGAATGGAGGAGAGGAGATTTAGTCAGGTGTTTCTCATGTTTATTTCAGTTTCTAATGGAAACAACTTCACCTTCTGACACTAAACTGAAAGCATTTCCAATAATATTAAGTTTAAACTTTGGAGTATTGGGACCATCACTTATACACATAATTATAAAATAAACAAGCTTAATATTTACCCTTTCGAAGATTAAATGCTCGTACTTGTAGGCGGCATAGACGGACTTCACCCACTGATGAGCCCATTCCTTGGATTTGGCCTTTGACTGTGGAGTGCCCAGATTGTCCAGACCCTCGATAACAATGAACATCATAGGCGGAAAGGAGTTGGGATAGTCCCATTTCTGGAAGGCTTGTTCATTCAACGTATGAGGCACTCCGCCGTACATCTCGTCGAGCTGATTGGTCTCAATATACCTCATCACCGAGGTAGATACCTTCTCGGTGTCGACCAAAGGAAAAGCCCTGGCCCACAATGGAGCAAAGTTGGTGCAACAGAAAAAGTCTCGCGGTTTCTGGTTTTCCAGATCGTAGTCCAACCAAATGCCGGCCTGGTCGTTCCACATAATGTCACGAATGGCTTTTACGAGGGTGCAGGCTCGATCCTGGTATTCATCCGCTTTTTTGGTGTTGCCGCTTTTGCGATGGAACTCGGCCAGGATCTTGCCACTTCGGAAGACGATTGCATTCAACTCCACGGGCACAATGGCCGAGGGGGTGGTGTCCACAATGGTGCCCCGGTTGGATCCATCCGCAGCCACAAACCAGCGGGAACTGAACTCCTGGCCGGACTCGCAGGCCGACTTCAGTTGGGTATATAGAGCCTCTTTGGTTTCGTTGCTCTCGATGTGTTCTGCCGTTTCAAGGTCCTCCCTGTATGCTTCAGGGCGTGGGCCAGTGGATATATCCCGATACTGATACATAGTCCTTCCTTTAACCTTTACCTCGTGGTTCAGCAAAAACGTTTTGTACTCGAGCTCGAGCAGTGGCAGGGATTGAATGGCAAAGGCTTCGTCCTTGGTCACCTCCACATAAGACTTCATCATCATAATCAAAATTGGAGGATTGGAGCGACCAGCGCAGTATATCCTTCCACAGCCAGGCACAAATCCGTAATCGCGGACCAGCATCAGGAAGTTGTCAATCATGCCCTTTGCTGTCTCATACATGCCACAGTGCAGCAAGCCACGGACAATCCAGAAGGAGTCCCAGTACCAGTACTCTCTGTGGCTAACCGAAGGAACAATGAAAGGCTTGGGTATATAGATAATCGAGTACTGTTCGGGATGTTTCTTGACGTCCTCGTTGACTTTTCGCCCTAGATCCTTCCAAATGGCATTGATATTGGACCCGAATTGCTTTAGACCCGGATCTGAAACTTTGGCGAGGCAACGAGGATTTTCCTTCCAATCCGTTGGAGTCCAGGCTTCAAGATCACAACCAGGCTCATAAAAGTGTTTCTTAGAAAAAGACAATTAAAGGTAAATATTCCCAAAGTAAGTGTTTTTTTTTAAGTACTACCTCCACAAACATTTTCAAGAACCTAAGGGAACCATCGTTCTTTTGACAATTACTAAACATTTCAAAATCGGCCAAGGTTTGGGTGGGAGTGTATATGCAACACATGTCCACAAAGTGTTTGCAATCGGGAAACATATTGGACCTTTGAACTTTGTCCAGCAAGGGGCCAGTGCAATAGACTTTCCTGCATTTCATTTAAGACATTTTAAAGGTTTTGGGAATATGAGTTTTGGAATTCATTGGCTCCAGGGCTTACCTGTTCTCCCCGGCCAGGGTGTGTCCAGCACAGACACACTTAGCCGCCATACTTTGTTGGTACTGTTAGTGTCTGTGTTTTGTGCAAAGGCCAAGAAAGAGAACTGGATTGACTTGACATCCAAGCCAAGTTCTGACTCGCCAGTTCTCCGAATTAGAAGGAGAAATAACTCATAGGCGACTAGGGTTTCCCACGGCAAATAAATCAAACAAAAATAAAACATGGTAGCAACAGAAACCTCTGTTATATTGACCATTAAAGCAAATTTGTCGACATTTGCCATTAAGAGTCAACAATGCTCGGCCATAAATCAGCGTAAATAGACAGGAAGCGCCTGCGAATCTTCGTCTCCTTCTTCGAGGGCCACACATTTATTTTAAATTACCATAAATGCCCCCTGACCAGAAAACGAAACCGAAAACAGAGCAGCAGGGCGAACTTTGCCTAAAAGCTATTGGCCTCTGTGTCCATTTGTAATTTCCAGACAATTTATCAAACCAGGGTGGAAATAAGGAAAAGGGGCAGGCAGCTGCGGCTTCGGGCCAGAAGTCGAAATGGAAATGGCGCAGAAAATGCGCTTCAAGTGGCCATGGCCATGGCCCTGACCATCGGCTGGATGGATGCTTCAACCGACGGATAGACGGACGAAAGACTTTCTGTGAAGTAAAAATTCTTCGATTTCTGGACAATCAATTGAAAATAAGGTGGGTGGTGATTTTGGCAGGGTAGGGAGGAGACAATCAGCCGCTGGCACGGCACTTCATAAATTCCTTTGCCGCCTCCACTTGAATGCAACTTTTTGGCATCCGCTTGGGCTTGAGCGTCTTTATGAAAAGTTCGTCGAGAGGAATCGAAGAAACACGGAAATTAGTCATGTCGCATTCGCTTCGCATTCCCTGTCGTCTGCAAAGTTTCAATTGAATTTCTTGTCCTGCGAAAAAAATGCAGCAACTTAAACTTTCAGCAGAAGCTCAAAAGGATCCATCCGCCAAATAATTAATTTTGCATATGTGAAAAATGCAGCCGAAGGATGCGAAGGGAAGCGCACCGACACTTGTCCTGACACTTGACCCTCCGGCAATGTGATCAATTTAACGAGCTGAAAGTGGCAAGACACTGATAAAAAATACCTATAGGTTTCCCACAAGAGTTTTAGATTAGCATTACATGAAGCCTGGGGCTTTTCTTTCAGTGTCAGGGCATTTCGTCATCGTCGCTTGCAGTTGCAGACACAGCTAATTGAGTATTCTCCCCCGCCAAGTGGACACAGTCGCCTCTGGCGCCTTTCAGCCTCATTTGCAATCCTGCACATAAATCAATAAGTTGCATTCGGTCTTAAATTAATTAAGAAGAAAAATTCGCAAAAGGTTCGCTATAACTAGAGCAGTCTTTTGTAGAAAATTCACTGCTTAAATACATACTTCGCCGGCTGACAGCAATCAATCAAAAATTGCACTTGCCTTAGCGCGGCGGGTGGTGCCGGATATATCACGTCGCACCGCCCAAAAGCCACTCTTACACCCACTAGCCCCCGCCCAGGCCAGCCCAGGCCAGGACAGCCCATCCCAGTCCACATCCCAGAGCAGGAGCATGATAAATTGTCAACACGCTGACGTTTGTCTGCAGCGATTTAAAAACTACTTAAAATGTAAATGTTGTTTCCCTGTTGCTGGTGATGTTGTCGTTGGTGCCTTGCTGCTGTGTTTGGGTTTTATGCACACGTCGCGCAGCGTAGACTGCGAAAATCATGTTGTTGACTTTGAAAAAATATGTGTAAAAATGCGCTATTGTAAATAACAGAACATAAACCCCGGCGGGACCTCCTCTAGTTGACTGACTGTCTGGGAGAGAGAGTGATGACATGGCAATGTCAACAGCAACAGCAAAACAGCTACACCAGCAACATCCAACAGCTATTCAACAATGTATGAAGATGCCGCGCCTCTGTGATTGCATTTTACACTTGTCAGTGGATTTGGTGCCACCTCTGTTTGTCTCCGCACTTTGTTGTCTAGTGTTTGAATTCAACACTAAGCTACAGTCCCCAACGAACTCCAGTGCAAGCTGTCGCCCGAGTTCTCTCCAAATGAGTTATAAATTCTGCTGTCAAAATACTTGACATTTGATTAATTGAAATCGACTTTGGAAAGTAAGTTGATAAGCAGGCTGGCGCACACGGACACGCACGCCGGATGAGGAAATGGAAGTGGCTGCGGGGCTGCCTGGCTCCCGGGTTGGCTGTCAATCACCAATGTCCTCCCTCTCCCGGCCAGCAGCTTCCTTGGATCATTTGTTGATGAGCTAAACTTTGACCGGGTCAGATCAAACAAAACGGGGCACAACTAAAGGGCAAGCCGCAGACGCTCAAATTAAGCAAAAGTCTAGTTAAACAGAAAAGTTTTGCGTCCTTCCCCCTCGATATACATCTTGGCCTGCCCTTCAAGTTGACAACTTAAATTGTTAGTTGCCTGATAAGCTGCCCACGACTGGTAGCTATCGGGTGTTGAGTATTGGGTATTGGGCCCACCCCACTCTGGCTAAAAGGGCGTATATAACATTTTTATTTATTTCACTATTTTTTATGTATCGGGGGCAAGGCACACGCGTCACTTGCCAAACGACAAACAAATAAATAAAATTCCTCTTTCGGCAGACACAACACCCCTCATTTCGGCCTCGAGGAGGGGTCAGTCGAGGAGAGAAATGTATGTGTTTTACAAGTCTATTAACTTGTGGCTCTTATCTACTGCTGACAGCAAGTTTTTCACTTTACCAAAGTTCGACCGGAAAACGCAACTTCCTTTTTACTTTTTGATAGCAAGAGGGAATGATTCGGGCCGGGAGGGAGGTTCGGAGGCAGTTCTGATGTCAATCATTTGTTGATCATTTCTCTTCCAGCCTATGCATAATGTATCTTATTTTTTCCTAAAAGTACTTTTGTATAGATAAATTACATACGTCAAAGTGGGACAAGATGGCTCCATTCGGATAAGGTTTCGTGTAAGGTATCCCGCTTAAGGATCGTATCTAAATTAGCCCAAATATGAACTTTGTTTGGTGCCAAAATGGAAAACCTCGATTTTACAAGGGGTTCCATCAGAAAAATTTGAAAAATATGGATCAAAATTTTTGTTCTTAGGTTTTAAAGCAGAATGAAAGAGAATCGAACTAGAAATCGTTTAAGGTATTCCCCTGAAGGATCCGATAAAAATTGAAAAAGATATGGCCTTGGTTTGGGGCGAAAATGGAATTCCTGGATTTTACAAGGGGGTCCATCAGAAAAATTTGAAAAATATGGATCGAAATTTTTGTTCTTAGTTTTTAGACAGAATGAAGGAGAATCGAACTAGAAATCGTTTAAGGTATTCCACTTAAGGATCGGAAAAAAATTGAACAAGATATGGACTTGGTTTGGGGCGAAAAAGGAATTCCAGGATTTTACAAGGGGGTCCATCAGAAAAATTTGAAAAATCGGGATCGAAAATTTTGTTTTGAGGTTTTGATGCAGATTGAAGCAGAATTCCACTACAAATCGTTTAAGGTACTCCTCTGAAGGATCGAATGAAAATTGGCCAAGATATGGACTTGGTTTGGGGCCAAAATGGAAATCCCGGATTTCGCAAGGGGTTCCATCAGTAAAATTTGAAAAATCGGGATCGAAAATTTTCTTTTAAGGTTTTGATGCAGATTGAAACAAAATCCCACTACAAATCGTTTAAAGTATTCCTCTCAAGGATCGGATGAAAATTGGCCAAGATATGGACTTGGTTTGGAGCCAAAATGGAAATCCCGGATTTCGCAAGGGGTTCCATCAGAAATATTTGAAAAATATGGATCGAAAATTTTGTTTTGAGGTTTTGATGCAGATTGAAGCAGAATCCCACTACAAATCGTTTAAGGTATTCCTCTCAAGGATCGGATGAAAATTGGCCAAGATATGGACTTGGTTTGGCGTCAAAATGGAAATCCCGGATTTCGCAAGGGGTTCCATCAGAAAAATTTGAAAAATATGGATCGAAATATTTGTTTTGAGGTTTTGATGCAGATTGAAGCAGAATCCCACTACAAATCGTTTAAGATATTCCTCTCAAGGATCGGATGAAAATTGGCCAAGATATGGACTTGGTTTGGGGCCAAAATAGAAATCCCGGATTTCGCAAGGGGTTCCATCAGAAAAATTTGAAAAATCGGGATCGAAAATTTTGTTTTGAGGTTTTGATGCAGATTGAAGCAGAATCCCACTAAAAATCGTTTAAGGTATTCCTCTCAAGGATCGGATGAAAATTGGTCAAGATATGGACTTGGTTTGGGGCCAAAATGGAATTCCTGGATTTTACAAGGGGGTCCATCAGAAAAATTTGAAAAATCGGGATCGAAAATTTTGTTTTGAGGTTTTAATGCAGATTGAAGCGGAATCCCACTACAAATCGTTTAAGGTATTCCTCTCAAGGATCGAATAAAAATTGGTCAAGATATGGACTTGGTTTGGGGCCAAAATGGAAATCCCGGATCAGAAAAATTTGAAAAATCGGGATCGAAAATTTTCTTTTAAGGTTTTGATGCAGATTGAAAAAAAATCCCACTACAAATCGTTTAAAGTATTCCTCTCAAGGATCGGATGAAAATTGGCCAAGATATGGACTTGGTTTGGGGCCAAAATGGAAATCCTGGATTTCGCAAGGGGTTCCATCAGAAAAATTTGAAAAATCGGGATCGAAAATTTTGTTTTGAGGTTTTGATGCAGATTGAAGCAGAATCCCACTACAAATCGTTTAAGATATTCCTTTCAAGGATCGGATGAAAATTGGCCAAGATATGGACTTGGTTTGGGGCCAAAATGGAAATCCCGGATTTCGCAAGGGGTTCCATCAGAAAAATTTGAAAAATCGGGATCGAAAATTTTGTTTTGAGGTTTTGATGCAGATTGAAGCAGAATCCCACTACAAATCGTTTAAGATATTCCTCTCAAGGATCGGATGAAAATTGGCCAAGATATGGACTTGGTTTGGGGCCAAAATGGAAATCCCGGATTTCGCAAGGGGTTCCATCAGAAAAATTTGAAAAATCGGGATCGAAAATTTTGTGTTGAGGTTTTGATGCAGATTGAAGCAGAATCCCACTACAAATCGTTTAAGGTATTCCTTTCAAGGATCGGATGAAAATTGGCCAAGATATGGACTTGGTT